AAATGAACAGTAGGGCGTGAATTAAGGTGTTGTTCCAAACTATGGGAGCTGCTAAATCCAGGATATAGAGCAACTAGTTAATTTCGAGAAGGTAACAAGAGGTTTAGTAACAGCAGAAGAGTCGGGTAAAAGTCTAAGAAACACTTATCCAGATGACTCAATCCTCAGGAGAGCTCTTGAAAATTCGGAAGAGGGTCTGAATCCACGAATGAAAAAAAAAAAAAAAAAAAGAAAAAAAAAAAAAAAAAAAAAAAAAAAAAAAAAAAAAAAAAAAAAAAAAAAAAAAAAAAAAAAGAAAAAAAAAAAAAAAAACCGAATTGTTATTGAAGAACGACGTGTAACGACGAATCGACTCTATTTATAATCCTCAGGAGTTTAAATTTCTGACTGCTGCGGTAATTACGGAATCCTCAAAAGAGGATTAAGCGGTCAATCCTCGGATGAAAATGGATTTTAGGAAACACTTATGCGCGGGAACCAGAGTTTAATTCTGAGTGTCCTACATCGTGATTAAAGCCTGAAGGTCGAATGTCCGAAAGGACGGATGATGGGACGGTCTTTCTGGTCCATATCTCCTTCAATTTCGGGAGGGTGATAAAGGTTCTGCCCGCACGGTCTAAAAGTTAAGTCCAAAATTGGTCCTCTACGCGAACTAAGTGTTTATGTCTTCTGTTCAAAGTACGGCTGAAAGCAACCAAACTTCTCGTAAACTTGTGTAGTTAAGTAAAATCTAGTTGATTTTCATTATAGATTAGACACTTAACGTTATAATAATCCGAAATATATAATATTATTAGTATTACATTTACAAATGTTAATGTGAAGAAATAAAAGTAACGAGGTATGAAAATTAGGAAACTGTTAGCAAACGGGAATTATATCGTCAATAATAAAAACGACAAACGAAGGAGGACGAGGGAAAGCCTGTGTATGACGATACTAACTATAATAATAATTATACGCTCATCAATAATAATTCTAGCGGAGGCTACATGAAATAACTAACTTGTAAAATCTAAAATCTTACGACGAGCGGCGTGCCGATTAAGTCTTCCGAAGTGTCCAGTGTAAGGCTGGTAATAATTTTGTTATCCACGAAAGTGTGAGCAGATGTCAAACTAAAAATATTCCTCCGCTCGAGACGAGTCAAAAAGCTTAATGGGTAAACGAAAGCCGCCTCGATAAAAAGTCATTGTGTAGGGACGGGATGATATTATACAGTGTGCGTGCGAGACGGAACTGACCGCGTCGTCGCGCCTACGCTAGTTAAACGATATTTTTTGTTGGAGAAGATGACTTTATGTCTGCCAACGAGTGATACGGCACGCCGACAACCGGCAACACTTCGCGAGAAGTCCGCGAGCGCGTCAGCCGTCCGGCAGAGGGAGCGCGAAACCTCGGAAGCTTCGGGGAGCTGGGATTGCGGCGAATGTTCGGCGGTTGATTTTCAACAAAAGGCGAAGTGGGCGAACAGTAAAAATCTGAGGAAACGAAAGGAAACGAACACTTTAGGTTTTCGACACGTGCGAACCGACAAAAAAGCAAAACGGGGTATAAAAAAAATAATGTGTCGGGTCTCAATTTTTTTTTAGTTATAACTTGTAAAGTTTATGACGGCGGCCGTAGTGGCCGGTTTGGTATCGGTTGCGATTCATTCTTACGTCGCGGCGTTGCATGTCTACCGGTTGTGGTCTGATATAAGTGGTTTATATTTTGTTTTATAAAGTCTTTGACATTACTTGTTATTGAATAAATAAAGTAAGTTCTTGACAATAAATGCTTTGAGTTGTAAAGATTAGACACACGTGTGTTTATACGTGCTACCAAAAAACCTCGAGGGGATAAATAGAGTTTCAGTCGGAACGTCCCCTCGAGGGAGGGAGAAGCCCCTCCGGGTTCGAGGGGGACCGAGGGGGGGTAACAGCTTGTCACAGACACCGACTTATCCCGGTCGGCCTAATCCACGGCCCGGCGTACGTAACTAGGTATCCACTAGTCTCATTGACGGACGGCAGTCTAAGTTAAAATTTTTGTCTAGACTAAAATTCTGATAAAGACGGCAGAGTATTTCTTACTATTTCTTATTCTTATTACCGCATAACTTGACCGAAAGTAATTAATCATCAAATAAATGTGATCTTGGTGGTTAGCGCAGTTAAACACAACTTACAACACAACGCACACACGGTTACAATGAAAAAAAGTTATTTTATAATTTCAGCAGGGGTCAGGCGACTGAACAAGCACTTTCACACAATCGATCGTGGGGATACAACATTTTTTACGTAAGATTTATCGCCGCTAAACTACCGCAAAATCCATCCGGATTGTTTCCCGAGCAAAGAAATCACAATTCCATTAATCCATGTCAAATCTCGGGAAAAAATAGTCATTTGCTTTAAATCGGTCATAACTTGTATTTTCCAGTTGATTGACTCCCAGTGAACGTTTACTGTCACACACCACAGATTGACATCGAACAGTGAGTCAATACAGAATTCGATGTCAAATTATCGACGACCTCTTCTTTCTACGTTCCCCCGCTCCCCCCCTCCTCTCGACACCAACTACCGGTAATCAACAACATTTATGTGTCCGACTCTCGAGCGGAAAAGTAAGTCTGACAAATTTTTTGACATTGTTGCCCTGTTAAAAAGAATCGCCTCGTAACAGGTTAAATTTAGTTATGTATCGTTGATAAAAAATTTAGCTTATTATGTTTGATAAAAACATTTCGTTATTTTGTAAAGATTCTTAAGTATTTTCCGTAAAGTTAATGTATAACCCGCTCAGTACAGCAATGAAACAACTCTTCACACCGCCACATTCCGTATTCGCCCTATTAAACTTCGCTGAACAAGGAATACCCTTTTGTGGCAGGCCACACATCTCCACACACACCAATTGTTGTTGACAAGTACTTCACTTCCTTAAAGGAAGATATTTTGTCGACACCGAACGTCACTCACAGATGCCTGCTACTTAAGTATCTAGTTCCGTCTGACCACGTGTGTGGAGAGGGACACGGAAACGGTCCGCTGGTGCGGGCACGATTCGCACAGGGAGGTGAGTTAGGGTTTCGTAGGCGGCTTTTCACATTGATACAAAATGTAGAGTCCCCTAACCGAAATTACAAAGTCAACGACGAGACAGATACAAGTCACTACGTCTTGAATGTGGAAGCCGCTTAAGCGGCAAAACTTATTAGGTTTTATCTCAGCAAACACCACTAAGTACATCTAGACCGTATGTTTATAAAATACCCCATACCCCGACCCTGGGTCTCATTAGACCGCCCCGCAACTCAACAATACACGGTAGTACTTGCGTGCGGTACCAACAAGGAAAAAATATATAATATTACTATCATGCCGACACACGAGCTCAGAAGGACCGGAACAGCCGAGACGGAGTACTACATATTATTCCGCAGACGACGAGGCTCTACCTACCAGATCGAAGTCCGCTCGATGTAATGGATTCCACGCAAGCAATCTATTAATTTTGAAACCAAAACGCCCAGGCCATCAGTGACTACCGTGTCTGACTGGCGACCACTTCGGTCGACAATCTTGCCCGGCAGTCCACCAACGTCTCGTCTCGATAGCGCGCACAGCCTCCCCCCCGCGCCCCTCCGTCTCCGTCTCTAGCTCTCCTTGTATCTTTTACCAATAAAAAGATCTATCTTCGTTTTTTATTCTAATTTTATAAATTTCTTCATCAATAAGCATAGAGCTTCGCCACCAGTCACGATATACTAGAAATGCATCAATGATATTCTTGTTTTATCGTCTATATTGTACTAGTTTGCAATGTACCTTGATTGCAATACGTGATATCTACCTGTAGATATTGATGTTATTTCATAAAAAAAGTAATATGTATTACATTATGAGTCTTCTACCATATCACTAATACCATTTTTATATAGGTATTTCTTTTATATTCATTTAATATAACAAAAACAACAGTACCTATAATTTTTACCATCTCTAATGAGTCTAGAACATGAACTCATTTCTATTCTTCCATGAGTCTAGAACATGAACTCATTTTTCATCTTCAGAGCTAGAACATGAACTCATTTTCACTTCGTGAGTCTAGAACATCGAACTCATTTTTCATACAGGAATAACCCGATTAGTCCGGAAATAAAATGTTTGGCAACACTACGATATTTAGCAACAGGGAAAATGCAACTTTGCAATGCCGACGATTTAGGAATATCGCAACCATCAGTCAGCTGTGCCATAAACCAAACCATCAACGCTCTCTAGTATTTTTATTGTTTGCTCTCTCTCTTTAACGTGCATATACAACGTCATTATCGTGGTCTGCACAAACTTGTCATCATGTGTGTATTCTGCTAACTGCACTGTCCATAACTATTTGATAGGAATACATTTCTAGCCTAGGCTATTTCCTTGTTTTTCGGTGATTTAGTGGGCTCGTTTGTGGGATGTTGCGGATGAGTTTCACCGAGACCGCCTACTCTGAACAACCAATCACCGTACTGACCGCTTCTAAACTCATGCACGAGAATCGACGTCATCCATAGCAACGGCGCGTCACTCTTAGTTCACTCTTAGTGATTTATCCTTAGTATGAGTAGGTCTCAGCGGCTTTGTGAATAACTTTTAAGAAAAAACTCCTACGTAAAATGTTTTAGCGCGAGTTAGGAGCACTCCTAGCGGTAAGATAAAATGCTTTGTGAATACGGCCCCAGATCTCTAAATGTATCTATTCAGAAAGTCTTGACACAAACATCTGTTGACTGTTGTTATTTTACATATTTCCTTCCTCAGTATGATACTGACTTCTATGTGCTGGATAAATACCCCCTGGCTGTGAGACCCTTCTACACCATGCCTGACCCCAACAACGCTGTAAGTCTCTCACTTACACACATAAGCACACACACTTACTCATACAGCACAAACACTTATTGGCTGCATAGTAAGACATCGACAGGAACAAGTGTAATGTCATTCTTTTCAAACAAGTTTTGTGTTTGACCTGAAGTTAAACTCCCATTATGGCCAGAGAGCAGCGTTCGACTCGCTACAGATTCTTCAGCCGTCTGTTCTCAGCTGGATGTAAAAAGGCTGATCTGCAACGCACAGGATTTAGCTGAACAAGTAAAGCTCCCTGCAGTGAGGTCATGACAAATGTAAAACATGCTAGCAGAGCCACAAAAAATGCACTGCTATTTTCTGCTTATATTGTTGATACCTACAGTATATGGTAAATATATTAGTGCCATTTTTTGGAAATGTTCATCCATTTTGAGCTGTTTGTGGAAATGTGCACCACTGTGTCCCTGTGTTGATCCAGACTCTTTTTTCAACTTTTTGAAATCTTTATGTTTAGCTGTCTCTGTGTTCGTCCCTTCTTTCTTTTAACAGATTGTTGGCCTCATGGGTGATTATTCTTTTATGTTTTTGTCCAGAAATACTCCAACTCCTACGACATGTTCATGAGGGGAGAGGAGATCCTGTCTGGAGCTCAGAGGGTCCACGACGCTCAGCTGCTGACTGAGAGGGCCATGCATCACCAGATCGGTAAGAGAGGCTCTGATTAAGAGGCATCAAGTGACCTGCATATGAGTTCTGCCTCCCTCTAGTGGTCACCAGATTGAATTACATATGTGTTGAATGGATCGTTTGAGAAGAGTTCAATACATGTCCTTCAGCATCCTGTTTCTTTTTTAATACTACAGATCTGGAGAAGATCAAGTCTTACATCGACTCCTTCCGTTATGGAGCCCCCCCACATGGAGGCGGAGGCATTGGTAAGGATTATCTGTTCAAGCAAACACACTGGAGACAAAGCTAGAATATATTGTATTCCTAGTAATAAGTAAATAATCAAACAAATTACAAGTAAATAGTTAAAAGATTACTTGATTTGCCTAACATTTAAGAATATTTTAATTGAAATAAATACAATTAACCATTAGAATATAAAAAAGATGTTGACAACATTTCTAATGATCAATCCTGTTAAAGGTGACACCTTAGATGATTGGATGTGCGTATATTTATGTTATAATGTATCTTTTATCAATTTTCAATCAACAATATTCTATGAATTAATGCTTATTTATTCAGTCTAACATATACACATTACTAATTAAATGTTTTCGTATGATCTGTTAATTTGACATCTCTTGACTTAAAAGGTAAAATAATAAAAAATAAGCTGGATGTTAAAATGGCTCCAGTTAGGTTTTCTTTAAAAAATAAAGTTTTTAATTGAGCTGTCATGTCTTCCAGGCCTGGAGAGAGTGTGCATGCTGTACCTCGGCCTCCACAACATTCGTCAGACCTCCATGTTCCCACGTGACCCTAAACGCCTCACACCCTGAAGCCTTAACCACAAAGCAGGTGCTGGTGATGGGAAACAATACTAATACAATTCCACAATACACATAGAGGGAGAGAATAGGAGCTAGTGCCACCCTATGACTCTAATGTGCCACTTTGACTAACCAATAAGATGGGAGAGTTATGCATTTGCAACAGAGGCATGTACTTTATTGATAGGTGTACAGGGCTGTCTTACAACAACAAATAACATACAAAAGAGAAAAAGGAGTTGGCTGGAACTTCCTGTAGAGCTGCATACACTTAATCCATCTTTGAATCAACTCAGTGTTTGTCTTTTTCTATGTTAAAAACACGTTAACACAGAAGAGTCCCTCCTACTACCAGCACAGACTAAGGACTAATTATTGTGGTCTCCAGCAGTGTTCCTGTAACTAAAGGTGTTTTGTATGTCATAAGAGGACTGAACACAAAGTAATAATAAAAACTTCAACAAATACATGGTTCTCAGTTTTTCCATTTTCTCTCATGGCTACATGATGCACGCATGATCTAAAAATACCATTTGAAAATGGTAAATGACAAAATGTTAGAAGAAAAAATCTTAGATAACAACCATTATGCTCAAGTGACCTCATTCACAGCACCAACTTCAAAGTGCTTTAGTGTTACAGACATAAAAAAAATGTTATATGAAGTTAAATTCAAAGTTTGGGAATTCACCGTATTAAGCTGGTAGTAAAACATTCTTACTGACGCGCTAGCATTATGACAAACGTCAAAAAACAATATACTGTAAGTCCAAACTGGGTGTGCTCTGACCGTGGGCTCATTCAGTGGCGGCTCCCCCGACTTGAAGGACGAAGAGGAAGATGTGAACAATGTCAATGTAGAGAGAGAGCGCTCCAAAGATGTACTCCTCTGGGTTGATGGCCAACTGACGGTTTCCAACGAGCAGCTGGGTGTTGTATACCAAAAACTACAACAGGGAGAGAAGTAAAAAAGCAGAATTAGAAATATGTGTTAATCTGTTGATGAGAGCAGGGTGGTATTACACACAGATGATGTACTTTTTCATTTTTTATTAATCTCACGCATGAAGTGGAATCACATCATTTGTAGATATTGTAAATGTTACAATAATTGCTCAGGCTATCTGAACAAAGCTGGCTACACATTTGACAATTTCTTCCATATCTGAATGTTTTGTGACACTGGCATTTCCTTGAGTACCACTACTAGACCAGAGTTTCCATCTATGCACAAAGATGCCTCAAGTTTACATCTACTAGTGGCTTTGAGCAAAGTGCTAAATCGGGCTAATATTTACCATCTTAGCAAAGACATACCTAATTTTGCTGATATACAAAGTAAACCTGAGGCCATGGTAATGCCAATATTTTTGGAAGTTAGTATTGAATAAATACAAATTATGAAATTATGGTGGTAGGAGTAAAATACCACTAGGGTATTTTTGTGGGGGGGGGGTGGGAATTAAATGTTTTTTTGGGATACACCCCTGGAACCATGAATGTCTCTACACAATTTGACACCAGCGGATCCAATAGTCATCAAGCTATTCTGTTTTGGACTAAAGTGAGAGGTGGAAGTAGCTTCCGACAGACAATCCCACCAGTGCCTCAAACTTGGCTAAAGACATTTAAAGATCTAGAAGTAATATGACAATTCACTGATCATGTTTAATTAAATGTTGATAAATGTTACTAATGGCCTTGTTTTCTTACACAAAAACCAAGACAAACCTGATGGATTAAGGCTCTAGAAATCAAATTTTCAGCTGGTTGGTAGGTCTCATTTGTAATGATGCGTTTACAACAATAGATACAAGACTCAAAAACACTCTCCTACAAATGCAAGTGAGAGTAAACTCACCAGAGTGTAAATGACGGCTCCAATTGCAGCATAGAGCATATGCAGCCACGGAACCTGTTGAGTGACATAAGAAAGGCCTGTGAATGTGAAATCAGTCACCGAGTAACACCCTACTGAGCTGATATTCCTCACACGGAGAAACCCAGAGTAGAGAGAATACATTTGACCAGAGTTCTCACATATTGGAAAGACAGGACAACGCCGGTAACAATCCCAATGATCATGAGCACAACGGACGCAATGCAGAGAAGTCCCCCGCAGGAGGTGAAGTCCACCTGTGAGGAGAAACAAGTCATTAACAGGATGAAAGTAAAGGTAATAGGCTTCAAGCCACATGAAAGAGCAGTCAGAATCGTTTGAAAGAAGATCAGAATATATAAGAATTGTTATTCGGTATATATGTCATGTTCCAGGCAAAAAATGTAATTCATTCATCTGCAGTTGCATCAGACAGAGAAGTTGGATTCACATCTTATCCTGAAATGTTATAAATATTTAAAGGAACCCAGTGCCCCATTGTAACGCGAGACAAAGGAGTTCTTTTACACTGACAACAAAGACATCCTCTGACAGGCCACGGGCTACTGAGCTACAGAGAGGTTCACATCTACCTTGGTTTGGAAGCAGAAGATTGTGACAGCGATGCAAACTATTGCTGTTATTCCCATGGCCAGAAACACTGCCTTTGTTTCATAATAGCTGTAAAAGACACATAGCGATCAACACATAAAACATCAGGATGAAATCATCAAATATGTACTGTTTATATTGCTTGAACTGGAGTGAAAAAACAAACCTCGAAATTGTTCCAGACATGTAAGACAAGGCCAGAGTCTGCAACATAAAACATGAAAGAAAATGTTTTGTTTTTTCTATCTTACTGCCTTTCTTTGTTTGGTTTTTATTCTTCCAGTTATATTATGGTTTTAGTTTATCCATATCGATCTGCTAGATCATACTCACTCTAACACAGAATACTTACAAATACCCCCAGCAGCACAAGATTCCATGGGAAACGCCTCCTGAACAACAATGGTGTCAAATATGAATAAAACATGACATTATCAGTAGTAAAATGATTTTCGCACTGGATCAGTGATGTCAGGACATGCTTACCTCGGCCCTTTGCAGCAGACAAGAATGCAGTAAACCATAAAATATACCACACTATGGGGGAAAAAAAACACTATTAATGTGAGATTGTATTTAACAGCATGCCATGGAAGTACAGTGATGTTTATGCAAAGGTTTAAATCTAATTGGACTGAAAATTGTAATGTTTTTTGTTTTTCTTCCTAGAGTGTAACTCACAAAGATGCCCAGTAGATGCCAGGATATCTGATGACAAAAATCCTCACTGGTTTACTACGACAGCAAAGACATAGGGATTACTCAGAGTGAAACATCAGATACATTAAGCTTTGGAACATATTATACTGCATACAATGAACAGGGACACTTACACAAATGTAAAGACAGCGACAACTGAAAAGGTGACGGCAAGCTGTGCTGTTAAAATCAAGTAAACCTGCCCACAAACACAAAACCAAGCAGTTCTGTTGAGCACACAAGAACACATTTCAGTGGCGTAAGCCTACATGATTCATCATTGGCACTGAGAACAACAGAAACACTTGATAAAAATAAAAATATATTTACCTTTCTAATGAAGGAATGACGAACAGCTGTGCTTTCCCACTGCGAGCTCATAAAGTCATCCATGTCTCCTGCAGAATTGGGATAGTTAAATGATCATTTATACTTATTAAATGTGGAAGTTATCTAAATATAATGCATGGTTTCATCAACAACGTCTTGTAAAATATCCACAGAACCTTGGTCCGATGCATGCACTCCGGCAGACAGAGTCGGTATTGTGGTGGGCCTCCGAGATGGAGAGTAGCCAGGGGCTGCCCACGTCCCAGCCTGCGGGTAGGCGCCTTCCTGGCCCCAGTAGCCTGGAGGGCTGGGGCTGTACGATGGAGGTGGTGGAAGAGGGGAGCCATCTTGCTGCTGGTTGGGGTCGTTTCCATACTTAGGTTGGTGAACTGCATCCTCGTAAGGTGGAGGATCGTCAGTTTTAGAAGTCATGATCCTACCCTGTTGAGAGGATAAGTGGTGATGAGCAGAATTATACATGTCATCAACAGGTGGCATATTGACAATAGAATAGTGTACAGTTCTGTTATTATGCTGCTGTGTTTATTGTATCTATGTAACTCTGGCACAACAATTTCCTTCAGGATAAATAAAGTCTTATCTTATCTTAATATACAAGGTAAGCCATAACATCTAACTTACTACTCATATCTGTTCATACTGTTATACATAGTTATTCAATTAAATGTTATCTACCCTTATACTTTCATTGTTATAATAGCTCAATCAAATAATGTGCAAAAAAACTACAACACAACCAACAAAGGTGAACTTTTTTGTTTTATTTATGTTCTGGACCAACTCTGCATGTGAACAAATAAATACACCATATAAAACAACCTATTGGTGGTTAACAAATTCTATGAGGACAATGATGGAAATAAAAACATGCATCAACCAAAACTATAAAAGAAAGAAATTGTACTCACCTGTTGGCTTTAGCCTGAGATGGGATCAGTGGTGCCTTCGTCCTTTCTCTCTTGGGGTATGCGGTCTTAAGCTTCACCACGTGAGGATGGCATCCCTGTAATAGGATACGTTCACTGAAACTTACACTGATGTGTTTTAGAAAGCATGGGCACTCCGGTTGCTCAGGTTCCTACTAATAATGAAAATACAACTGAAAAACCAGCACCACAGACTGTCCTACACACAACTAGGTAAAACATCTCATAACAATGAGTTCATTTTTACCATGTTAAGCATTCTTCCTGAGGATTTTTGTTTTACAAAATCATATTCACATCTTAATTGACCCAATTGTTGACTATATTGTCGGACTTAGAGCTGTAGCCTATAAAGTTAACCAATGTCATAGCAGGAATGTTAAGTGTTGCTATATTATTTAGAATTCTACTGAAACAGGCTTGATTCCATATTGACGTCATACTATGAATTCATTATTTAATTAGGTGGAATGTTGTTGTAGCATACATGTCTCATTCTGTATAGATTAGTAACTTTAACGCAGGGCTAATATTAAAACAAACATGTTTTTTGTGGAAGTGGGGTTAATTTTTGAACAGGGTTAATTAAGCTCAAAATAATTTCTAAAAAGGAATGTGTCAGAGAGAAACAACAACACTTTTTTGGGGGGGGAAGGAAAAACATTAGAAGTAATTTGAAGCAAAATCACAGTGCATCTTTTGGAAGCCAATTTTCACCATTCACTATCTCATTATTATTTAATTATCTAATCATTATGACTGCTATCTGATGGTTGTTTTTGCTCTAATGAGATAGTGAATCTTTTTTAAGAACGCTTCTCATTATCTTATGATGCAAAGTCATCATTTTGAGACAGTTTCTCAGAATTACTTTTTACTATTTTTCCCCTTTTGGTGGCAAAAATTAACTTCCATAGGTTTTGGATGTGAGATATAAAATAAAAATAAACATGGTTTACAATTGCAACAGTATCACTTTATTTTCTTAATTATTCTTTAACATGGCTTTCAGAGTCTTCAAATAATTTTTTTTATTTTTTAAAAAGGGACAGGTGCATACAGAAGCCAATAATAAACATAACAGAACTTCACAAGACATTAAAGGAATTAAATAAATTAAAGTATTTACAACAAAAGGCTAGGGCTTTTTACATCAATTGTATTTTTTGTAATGTAGCCTACTTAACGGTTTGATTTATTTTTCATTTTTCATTAATTTAAGGTCTTTAAGACAAATAAAAAAACTCATTATGAAAACGATATCGCTTCCGGGGTGTGCGTGTCCATGACACGTCATTACGTTCCGCTTAGGGGCTATGACGCTTCCTGACTGGATGGTAACGCTGGTTGCCACCGCATCCTTCTTCTGTTTCTTATTTTTATGTGTTCGCCACAGACGCAAAGTACAAGTGCTCTGCAGAAAAGTATTCAGCAACATAATGGCCCGCACAGAGAAGCCGCTGTTCCGAATCGCGTGAGTATATTATGACCTCCTTAATATAAACATGTTTAGTTGTCATTGCTCTGATTCTCGCTAGCGTAGCTGAGCAACATCTTGTCATTCTTATTCAGAGGCCGACCCACCGGACTGTATTCAATTATTCTCCACATTTACATTCGTCAAAAGTTCTACCCCTGACAGTCTGGTCGAAGCATTTCCTTAAACGACATCAGCCACTGTTTTATTCGGTGTAAATACAAACAGCAAAGTCAGATCTGCAAGATCAGATTCTTCTGCATGATCTACTACTATCTTGTGCTGCTTTGGTAGAACACACGCTGATATGTTTTGGTATTTTATCCTATGGTTTTACTGGTGTAGCTAGTTAGCACTTTGGCCATACTACATTTGCAGTGGTGGAATGTAATGAAGTATATTTACTCAAGTATTGTGCTTGAGTACCATTTTGATATAGTTGGGCTTTACTTGAGTATTCCAATTGTATGCTACTTTATTATTATTCTACTCCACTACAATTCGAAAGCCAATAATGTACTTTTTACTACACTACATTTATTTGACAGCTTAAGTTACTAGTTGCTTTTTAGATCTAGATCATTGGTTTAAACAAATCAACTAATAACTGAACATATATATAAGTTAGGGTATTCAGAAGCAGTATACCATGTATTTCGAATTAGCTCTACATTTACGATTTGTTATAAACACATTAATGCATCAATGATCTGAATCTCTAATGTAATGTTATGATTCTGAAATGGGCCACTAGGCATAACGTGTACTACGCATTTTGGTACTTGAGCATATTTTGAGGCCAATATACTTTTTTACTGTTACTTAAGTCATATTTTAAATGATTGTTTTTTGAGTAGTTTTACAATTAAGTATTGCTACTTTTCTTAAGTAAAGCGTCTGAGTACTTTTAGCACCACTGTAAATTTGTAGATGTTTCACTTGGGTACGCGTGACCTCCTTGTCATTTAGAAAGATGATAACTTCATGTTGTGGTTAGGTTAGCATTGTTAATGCTTACCACTTAAAGCTGTGAACTATTTCCCAGGTACACACTCTACACTAAGACCAGACTTGGCTACTTGTACTACAAGAGACAAATGAGGAAGGCCCGAGAACAGTACCCTGCTGGACACTCCACATCTCAGCCAATGGAGTTCAATGGTAAGCAGTAGTCTGGATTTACAGGTTACTTTTTTTACACAGTGTTACTCTTACTCCTTAATTTTTGTAAGACGGTTGTTTGTTCAAACCAAACACAGTGCATGTGGTTTACAGTATAAAAGCATATTGTGTTATTGTCAGTACAAATGTGCTATCATTTAATTACATACTATTAACATTATTTGTTAACTTTATCATGCATGCTAATAGTCTATTTTGATCATTCTAAATAAATAAGGTTTAATATTGACCCAAATACTTAATTTTTTTATCCTTATTTGTCTCCCCGCAGGTATTAAAATTATTCCCATTCCGGTGCTCTCTGACAACTACAGCTACCTTGTGATCGACACAGCCTCCAGTGTTGCAGTCGTTGTAGACCCTGCAGACCCTCAAAAAGTTCAGGTGAATGCCTCTACTGTCAGATGTGTGCAGGGTGTTTATGGAACACTTCAAAGACTCTTTTGTCTGTAAGGTGCTTTTATATCCATGAAACTACGCAGATCCTCTGCAATTACACATCCATGTTTGCTGTACACACTGCCAAAGAAAGTTATAATATTTTCTAGATCTCCTTGCAACACCATGGTGGTTTGAAATAAATGGTTGCTCTCAAATTCAGTTAAATGATGTAGGTTTACCACACCTCTGAAGTGCTGCCAACGGCGAGATATCAACGTTATTGCATTCTCAGAAGCATCCATCACAATCCCACGAGCAAAATTGCCATTGCTGTACTGTGTCAATAGACTGAAATATTTTGCAGCTCAAAAGGCTTTTGAATAAAGTGTTCCTGAGGTTATCTTTAATATGCTAATTGCAGGTTGTGAAAGCATTTGTAATCTTTCAGGCAGTTCTTGAGGAAGAGGGAGTGACTCTCGAAGCAATACTCTGCACACACAAGCATTGGTGAGTTTTTGTATAACAACACAAGGAGCAATGCGCAATATTTGAATGTGTCCACAATACTGGCAAACGTCGGCTTTCTGTTCTATTGACAGGGATCACAGTGGGGGAAACAAAGGGTTGAAAAGGATTCACAGCTCATGCAGAGTATACGGAAACGCCGCTGATAGCATTCCTGGCCTCACGCAGTAAGTCACCGCTCGCACGGCTTTGCACAGAATCACCCTGTCCCCTCTGTCAGCAATGGTAGCAGCTGACTGCACGGTGCATTATCATTGTGTGATAAACTGTTCCGTATAAACTGCTGAAGTATGTGGCTACCCTAAGCTCAACATCGTCCAAACCACTGGATTCAAGTGTATTTCCCCCAGTGATGATGTCCAATTCCGCTACATAAACCAGAACAGAATGTATATGCTAATTAAGACAACTTCACTCAAATGTTGAAAACGATAAAAGAATGATGCAATGCCATTTTTGTCAGTAAACTAAAATCTGACTGGTTGGTTGTTTTCCCAGCCCTCTCTCACACAAGGATTCAGTAACAGTGGGCCGTCTGCACTTTAAAGCCCTCTTCACTCCGGGACACACAGTGGGTCACATGATCTACCTCCTGGACGGCCGGACGGTCGACGCCCCCTCCAGCCTCTTCTCCGGTGACCTGGTGTTCCTCTCCGGATGTGGTGAGTAACAGAAGGGGGGATCCATCATAACAATAATCATACAGAAGGGACATTGTGGTTCACATAAACTCGTTTTTTTATGTAAAACACATGACACACAGTAAAAGAGAACCTCTGTGGGGTGTATGTTTGATGTGGAGTCCTTCTACACATAATGTGACTCTTTGTACCACTTAATGGGGCCACTTAATAAGGTCATAGTGAATTGTTTTTTTGCTAAGCTAAATAATGTGCTGGATACAGTCAGATATGCATTATGGTCCTCATGCAGAAATCTACCTGTGAAAAAGTAGACTTGAATATGTAATTATTTCTCCTGATTGTTTTTTATATAGAATGATATTTTAAGAACCACAAACCATCCTGAAACAGGTATTCAGGAGTGTGGTAGGGTAAAGAGTACTTATGAGCAGTCTATTCTGTACTGCAGGGGTTCCCAAAGTGGGGGTCGCGAGACCCCGAGTAGGGGTCGCGAGATGATTACAAAATAAAAATGGAAAATTAAAAAAATATATATATTTAAAAAAATGGATTAATTTTTTTTATAATGTTTTATAATTTTTTTCTTTAACAATCCACTAGCGCAGTGTTTCTCAATTTATTTATTTATTTTTCGGAAATTAATTCACTAGCACCCTCCCCCCCCCCCCGTCGACAGGGGGTCGCCAGTCTCTGGCACTGTTATTTTGGGGGTCGCGGGCTGAAAAGTTTGGGAACCCCTGCTGTCCTGGATTATCTCTATGGGAGAATCCAACATGTGCCGTGTGCAGATACCTAGTGGCTTATCTAAATTTAAGACCTTGAATTCATAGCGCTGGCTCGTATGCCTACTTTGGATGCTTATACTACACACAAAAATACAAACACACACTGGGCACTAATGTCCAATGCATATCACTGTCCTTCCTTCTCTACACTGCTATTACATGCAAGTAGTGAGACCATGCAGGTTAATTTTTGCTTTCAAATGTAACAGGGCCTTGACAATGCTGTTTCTTGTTATTAATTCATTTGTTATTACCTATATGGTTTTACACACCCATCCCCCTTAAAGATAATGTAATTACATGTGATCCGCAGGTCTGAACTATAGTAATTTGTTGTTTTGTTTCATTATGCAATATCAGCATCTTGTGTACTCTTTGGGGTACTGCAGGGCAAAGTTACTGTTACAGTCGCATACAACCAGCTATTAAACACAGCTTGATTTAAAAAAATAAATGTGCAACTTATTTTACGTAAATATATTTGTATTTTGTATTGATGCCCCTTAATGTGAGAATTTGTATATACTGTATGTGTCTATGATATTTATGTTTGATTATGTAGGTATTTTTCTATATTTAAACTTGTATTCCTTTTGGATTGTGAGAATCAGCATTTCAATATCCCTGTCTGTATCTAACACACAGAAGATTGTCAATAAAGTTGACTTTGACTGACTTCACTTTCCATTTCCAGTATGGATTAACAACCTTCATGACCTCGGAAGTTGTTTTTTTCTCTCCACCATTTGAACATTTTTAAGTATTTTTATTTTAAAGTGCGGTCTTCTAACATTCAGATAGTTTACCTTCTAAGGCTTGATTAAACACATAGCCTGTTAAGTTAAGATTAGTAACAACAACCTGTTCTTGTTTTCAGGGAGAACGTTTGAAGGCAGTTCCACAACAATGCTGTCATCTCTGGACACAGTCGCCTCCTTAAGTGATGAAACTTTATTATGGCCTGGTAGGAACATTTTGTGATGTAGATGTGGTTTAAATGTGTTGCTCTGGCTTCATTTCTGTACCTCCATAGTCATTTTTTATAAAGTCCCATAAAGGGCTTTTGGGAGGCTCGAAACGTTTGAGTGTCGATGTCCATGTAAACTTTATTTCTGTGTCCCATGGCTTTTCCTCAGGTCATGAATATGCTGAGGACAACCTCCTGTTTGCTGCTGAGGTCGAGCCTCGTAACGCTGCCAGGGAAAACAAATCTCAGTGGGTGCTGCTGCAGCGGGCCGAGAAGCTGTGCACGGTGAGAATGATCTATGGCCTGTGTTATGCCTCCATAGCACGCCATCCCAGAGAGGATTCATGTGGTCCAGCACCTGGAAAGAAAGCTTTATCGCCTGCTTTCACAGCGCTGTTCTCCCGGGCTCTCACACTCAAGTCTCATCTGCGATGCAGTCTGCAGCAGAGCAAAGGTTCACTGTTGAGTGAAGTGCCTATCCAGAATTTAGATGAGTTTTTATCTGCCATCTATACAGCATGGCGCTAGAGGGCAGTTTCACACATCGGTAATAAAAGGGCTTTTCCGCAGCAGAAATGTTGACTTGTCACAGCAGGAAAAGCAAAGGTGTTACTAATAACATCAACAACGGTTCTGTCATTTTCGAGTGTCCTAATAAGCTGTGACAGTGAGACAGCATGCACAACAACAGCCGTCATTAAGTTAATAATTACATCTGTGCTTTCACCCACAAGTGACATGTTAACAAATGAGCAACTTTAGCTCTTTTTGCTCGTTCAAGCTTTACATTAGGAAATATGATAGCAAATTCCTAGTAACACATTAACTCCTTGTTTCCCTGCTTTTAACTTTTGTTAGTTAGAGTTTTATTATAAGGATTGGCAATCATTGTGGAGTATTCTCAATGAAATGCATAAAAAGGGAAAGTTAAAATGTGATTTATTATTGGCTAAAAGGCCGAGATGCAGAAATTCAATGCAGTGGTGCTTTTAGTTGGCAGGAACCACTTGGTACAAAATCCTGTTCTGTGAATGAATGACATACGAGTCATTGAGACTACATTCATTTTGAGGAGGGTTTCTTTTTTTAACACGCTCTTTATTTCCAGTGTCCCTCCACTATCGGAGAAGAAAAGCAGTACAATCCTTTCCTGCGGAGCCAATCTGAAGAGCTCCATGTGGCCCTGGGCGTCCAGCAGCTCCAGGACGAGGACTGGACCCAGTTCAGGGCCCGGGTGCTGGAGGAGCTGCGGAAACGCAAAGACCTCTTCAACAGGAGATAGTACTGGATACACTAAGCAGCTAAACCCCTGGACTGGACAGTGGTACCATGTGAAGCTGAGGTACTGAATTCAAAAGTCTAAGTCTGTTCAGAATGACTTGTTTTGTACATTTTGTTGACCTTTTATCAACCTAAATCATACCACTAAGAACTTTTTCATTACTACATGATACTTTTCAATAAGCCTATCACCTCTCCACGTACTGTAATTTATGCTAATTTTGTGTTTATAGACAGATAAGGTCAGTTTCTTTAATATAAAGGTCTTAATAGTAATGTAAATGTGCATGTGTAACTTTAAGTTGTGTGAGGTACAAGCAGATTTCTGATTTGTGTGTGTAAAACAGGTCTGCACACTACATGGGTTACTTTAGCATGTTAAGCAAGGTACTGTATTTGAAATGCATTGTCTGGGTTACTTTAAGGGCAAGTAGAATATTGTTTTGAATATACATCCTACACATACAGTGTTGCAGGAGGGTAACTTTTCCATGGATGTTGCAATTTTTGTAATTGAGTGTTTGTGAATATTTAATTTTGGTACGGTTAATTTAACAAATTACAAACACTCTTTGCTGGTGTTTACTGTCAGTTTGTAATAGAACATCGTACGGTAAAAGGTCTGTACACTAGCCTTTCATGTGAATTTTTTTTTGCTGCATGAAGAGCCATTTTTAAAAGTTAACTCAAAACTTCTAAGTGGTGTTGCTGACACTAATTATTTACAATGCACGTGATTAGACTGCTTTTTTTTTTTTTTTTTAATTGCTCGTTCATTTTTGGCCAACACTTATAAGATGTAGAACACATGTTTCCCACTTTTGCTGAACCAATTGTTCCACATGTGGAATTGTATTTTTCAAGTGTTGATAGTTGCACAGCGTGAGCGAGATCAGCAATGAATGTGATTTGACTGGTAGCGCATTGATATGTATGAGACATGACAGAATGGCTGTTAAATAAATCATTTTCGTTTTACGGTTTACCTTTGGATTACAGATAATCTAATGTACAGGGTGATGTTCATTCAAGCAATTGTAGGCATGAGCTATGTTCTGCAGTCACTTTTGATAAAAATGTGTAATATTTAAGAGTAAGTTGGTGATGGAAAGATCTTTAAAAAATTAAGTTTATTATATGAGAATACAATGTGACCTTGACTGTGGTTTTAATAGCCGATTTGAAAACCCAAATTGTACATATCATGTTCATATATTTAAGGATTTATTATACTGTGACAATACAATGAACACATTATTTCAGTATAATAAACAATCTTCTTCCCACTCACATGAAAAGTATTCCTCTTCTGTTGTTTGTCAATGTCTCTTTGTGATGGAAATGTGATGCAGCTTTTTCCTTTTAGGTGGAGATGGGCCACAATGCAGAGGAATAAAGCCTTTAAACCTTTGAGGAGCTGTGAACGCTCTTCAGATTCCTCTGCTGCTCCGGCAGTAGGGCGCGTATCAAAGCACCTTGTCCCCTGGTGATAGTTGACTAAAATGTTTTTCTGTTTGTTTGATGCAGATTCCCATCTTATTTGCATATGTTTGAGTTATGAATACCACCGCATGGGAGACTGTTTTACTTCAGGTTACGTTTTAATGAGGAAATATCAAAGTGAACTCCTTCATTAGAGCTGTGTATGTGTTATTTGTCGTCTTTATGAGTGCTCAAGACTGACAGCTGAGGTTTTTTTCCCAAACATCTTAACTTCGCTAAACTCAAATAAGGGAATAACCTACTTTACGCGCATGCCGGAGACGCACGGGAGAAAAGAATAATCCATTGACAAAGCCTTGTGATAAAATGGAACAACAAAACAAAATATCTTGTTTCTTGGATCCACCTCAGTGGCCCCAGACACAGCATATTAAAACAGTTTATAGTAATTATTACACAATATAATGGCAGCATTTGAATGCCTTTGTAAATTATTAACCTGTGATAAACCATCATAAGCAGCATTTAGGTATTAGCTCCTGAAACTCACAGCCCCTAATATTCTTAGAAATACATATATATACTAACATATATAAAAACATTATTTAAAAACAACCACAACCAGAACATATTGCACTCATTAACAGCAACTCAATCTGTCATAAAAGAATGTGCTGTCCAAGTATAATCTCTTGTAGGTCAATGGGTATTTCTATTTTCTATTTTATTGTTATTCCAAAATAAATAAAATATATTTTTTTATAGAAGAAACAGTTAATGTGAGTACTACTAACACCTGTGCTTTTCCTGCCTTAAAATGTCAACATGTGTGTTGTTGAAAAGGCTGATGCCAGATGCCATTTAAAATAATAAAATCATGAATAATTAGACAGAGGGTAGCACACAAAATTACTTGACAAGATAACGCCGAACTGGTATTGTCATTCTGGTAAAAAAAAGGGATACTTTTCAATATTTTGTTTTAATCTTGGAGAAAAGACATTTAAGATATCATTTTTTAAACATTTTTAGGAAGTCTTTACTTATAAACTTACACTTTAGAGTTTTTTTACAGAACCACATTGATTAGTAATCGTAGTATATTTTAAACAATGTCTTTTTAAATATTGTATACAATTGTATATATTTAACAATAACTTATTAAATATCAATGATTTTGAAAAACGAAAAGCAGAATTGTATCTGTACAGAATGTTTTTTAACATCCCACATTTTGCGGTTGAATTTGGCCAGCTGAATTAGAGTCACTTGAATATAAATATATACTGAATCTTTTAACAGTGACATTTGGATTCTAACTTTGTAAAGATTTAATCAAAAAAGTGAAAACGAGTAGATACATTAGTTCAATGCATAATTATTCAGTGTTATAATTAATACAATTGCTTTTTAATTTCAAATTCTGATGGTACAGATTTACTTCCATATCCAACAGTTGAGAATCTGCACAGGAGAGAGGGCTGTTTAAACTACTGTTGTCTGATTGGTTGTTCTATTAGTTTACAACCATAGGAAAACGAAATATAAATGTTCCTTTCCTTTTAAAACTGTATTGGTAGGTATATGTATTGGTAATAGATTTTGTATAATACCTCTAGTCTTCTCCACTCCTTTTCACACAGACTGCTCTCTGCTCCGTGCTTTTATTCTGAAAACGTCAACGTCACAAGCCGGAAGTGGATACGGAAGTGTCACCAAACAGTTACAGGTGTAGTCTCCAGGCACCTCGTCTGTCACAAATTAAAGCTTCAATCTCAGTCAATATGTTGAAGGCGGTTATTTTAATTGGAGGCCCCCAGAAAGGTGAGCATAACACAACTCCTTCCTATCGTGTTTTCAGAGTCAGCTGTTCTTCGTTAAAGCGAAGCTAGGTGGCTAATACCAACAAGAACTCCAAAGACCCGAAGAGCTTGTTTATATCACTGACGTGGCATAATGAGGGGACAGTACACAAACAAATGACCTAATAGCCTAATCACTTGATGATTACAATGTTAAATTACGCTATTTAAATAACAACACTGTCTATAAACATGTAGCTTTTACAGTTATGTTGCTGTTTATACCCTGCCTACTATTATCATTTGCTCATTTAATCTCCTTGTAGAGCCATTATCTCGTATCAAGTCAACGTAATCCCATTTATAAATGAGTTTTTTAGGATGATAAAGTACCTTTACTAAAGGAATGTGTTTAATAATACGTGTTATCTTTGCGTTGCGACACCCTTTTCAGTTCGGCAGACAATCAGTTCATACATATTAAGATATAAGCACGGTAAATGTAAAGCAAGTGGAGCTTTAACAGGAATTACGTTTTATATAGAAGTTTTAAAAATAGTTTTGCAATGTGAGAGGACATGGCATCCCCTTTGTTGTAGTGAAGGAATGATCTGTATCCATGCAAGATACTAATAGCGCATATTAGAAACATGGAGTAAAATGGGATCTGCATTGTAATCTGATTTAAGAGTAATCCCCCGCATTGCTTTCCAGGCACAAGGTTCAGGCCCTTGTCATTTGAAGTGCCCAAACCCTTGTTTCCTGTAGCTGGTGTGCCCATGCTGCAGCATCACATTGAAGCATGTGCCAAGGTAAGTGCCACTGCAATACAACTGTTATGAGTAAGAGCTTTTCTCAATGTGATGTACAATGTAGGGTGATTTCTGGATGCCTAACTAGACTGTATAAGGGTAACATTGTAGGTATGTTCTATATTCAAGTGAAATATTCTATTAAGTTAGTTAGCAGTTATGGGGGTTGTACTTGAATTGATCCAAATAGAAATTAGTCAATCTGATAAACAATTCATATATTCATCTGTTCATAAAACAATCTGATAAATACTTTTTTGTATTACAAGGTACCAAATATGAAGGAGATTTTGCTCATCGGCTTTTATCAACCAAATGAAGAACTGAACAGATTCCTGTTCAATGCACAGCAGGAGTTTAAAATCTCCATCAGGTAAAGAGACAAAGCTCTTAGTCTTACTCGACTACCTTACTAAATAACAGCATTCATACAGTAACACTTGCATATTGACCGTTCATAGCTATGACTTATATACTTTGTTTATAAAGACATTTTCACAGTGCACTTTTTTTAATACACATAATTAAACAAATAAAAGAGTACTTGTTTTTTCTTAGATGTGCTAAACTGTGATAGTATTCCTAAACATGGTAACACTTTGTATGACTCCCATGTCTATAATACATTATAAACATACTTTTGACCATATCTCCGTCCGTGGTTAGAGCTGGCAGCCCATAAAATGTTTCCGCTGCCAGATACGCATGTTCGTCACACGAGCCCTCAGAAGCATTAGGCAATGTAATCCCCTCTGTCTGCCCCTTTCAGCACTGTATCTGGAATAAAAACACTGGCCCAGAACAAATCTTTAAAAAACACATACTTATATTGCCCTCTTATAGCACTTTATAAAGGTATAGTTATAGGCGCTATGTCGTAACACATCACATCATAAATCATTGTTTATTGACAAAGTATAATAATACTTAGTATTAATAATATTAATTGTCACTAACTGTCATTTTTTCAAAGTAAAACAAGTCATGTATAATAATACTAGTAAAAGTCGGCAGTGGTTGGAGAAGTATTTAGATGTTATACTTAATTAAAAGTACCTTCAAAATTGTACTTAATAACATTACTTAAGTAGATTCATGGACATAAAATAAACATGACATTATTATTATTTGTATTAATAAGAAAACATGAAGGACAGACCATCTATTTCTATTTTCTTTCTTTATTTTGAGAAAGCGGCAGGTAATATAAGATGATGTTCTTCTCCCTGCTCCTTTTCGGGTATGGTGTGTTTACAGAGACATGCTTTGTAAATAATTGTTATACATTGAGTTTGTGCATACGATGAACTGAACAAATACGAAATGGAATGGAACAGTTATAATATACTATAATCAAGAATTATGAATAGATAGTAAATGCTTTTTCCTTTGTTTATACGATGCTGTTAATAGAATTCAACCCATTTAAAGTATGTTTATAATACATTAAAGTCATGGTCTTGATAGAAACTGCTGCTGCACCGCTCCTGCTGAATGACTGCAGGTCAGCTGATCTTCCTGACTCTGCACCACAGGTATCTGCAGGAGTATGCTGCCCTTGGCACCGGGGGTGGCATCTATCACTTCAGAGATCAGATCGTGTCCGGCAGTCCAGAGGCCTTCTACATTCTGAATGCTGATGTTTGCTCAGCGTTTCCCCTTGCAGAGATGCTCAGCTTCCAGAAGGAACACGGAGAACCAAACAGCTTTGTTATCCTGGGGACAACGGTGAGACTCATAGAACTTGTTAGATCTGGTCAAAGTAAAACTCCAAAAGGTTTTTCTTTCTGTTAGTTATTGTGTCTAGCTTTCTGAATATAATGAAATATGAGATCTGGCTTCTTGGATGTCAAATTTTGATTTCTAAATCCAATTTTTTCAGGCAAACAGAAAGCAGTCCATGAACTACGGCTGTATTGTTGAAAACGAGACAACAAAGGAAGTAAGTAGCCCTTCCTAACTTCTTTCCTTAAATAGCCACTCATTACTGTTTCATCTTAAAATAACAACAACTTCTTTTTTATTCAGGTCTTGCATTATGTGGAAAAGCCAAG